TTAAGCAGTAACACAGGCCGTTTTGAAAGGTGGGTTTTCAGTGGTTGGGGTTGGGTCTATGTGACCAAAGTCACATTTTGTGGCTTCAGGCTCTTGTTGCTTAACTATAAATTGGTGGTTTCCATTGACTTTATCTTCAGGAATGTCTATCTTGCAACCCATATCCAGACAATTCTGTTGTGTCAATCCTGTGGTTTAAGATACTAGAAAACAAACATCAAAGAACATTTTTCTGCCCTTTTGATTGCTGGCTTCAGGGAAGGACTGTAGGTCAACAGTCCTCCAAAGGGAGGATTTAGAGAGTAAAATACTTCTGAACTTAACCTCTGTTACAATTATTTGAAATGTTAAGGATTGATGTTAAAGGTTTATTCAATCTATAGTCAGGTAATATTGTGCCAATAAATTTTATTTTGAGTTGTTGACATTTAAAAAAATATAATTTGCTAACATCTTAAAGCAAGATGTGTTTTAAAACTTCTACTGATTTGTAAAATTTAAGATGTTACAATATTCAGACTAGCAACTCTTACTAGAATGTTTACTTTTATTTAAATATAAAGGCAATAATTCAAACTCTATTTTGTGATAATGTGTTGGTCTGTATTTTAAAATTCTTTTCCTTGCCTTTCCCCCATTTTGTTTAAGAAAATACATGTAGATACGAACTTTGTTTAGCCATTAAATGACTCTGTTGAGGACACAGTCACATTGGTTGTACATTTAATATTCCCTGATTAACAGAAAATAACTTAAAATGTTAACTGGGAGCTAAATATTCTGCCTCCCAGCTGTACTGGTGCTAAAATTACAGTGGTCTCTTCACTTTGTTCTTTTAAGGAGCTCTACCCTAAAACCAGTAACCTAATTAAGAAACAAGCTAAACTGAAAAGACTAGCTATCAAATTAAATCAGTCTACAGCTAACTCTTTGTAAAAAAAAAAAAAAAAAAAAATTAAAAATATCTCTGTAAGGGTACCTTCCTCTCTGCACCTAACCACTAAAACTTTTGGATAAAAGGATTGTGGCTGAAAGTTTACATAACAAACCTTACCTTTAAGTTTAAGTGCCTTGAGATGTAAAATGCTAATTTTGAGTTGGCTAGCAACAATTGTTTAGGGCAATGAAATAAGTAATCAGGAAATCATCTTACCTAAAGTAGGGGAGAAACTATTTAAAAACTGGCAAATGAAAAAAATCTTATAAATCTGTTACTGAAAGTTTGATACTTGTCCCCATGGTGAATGAAGACTGAGGACAAGTGGCTTGAGGAAAAAGAAAGAGAAGTTTATTAATTTGCTGGCAAATGAGGAAGATGGCAGACTCCTGTCTTAGAAAAAAACAATCATAACTAGAAGCAGAAATACAGAGCTTTCAAAGAAGGGGTTTTCAGCTTCAGATCATTGCTTTTTACTATAGTTGATGGTCCTCAAGACCATCTTCAGGTCTTCAGCAAAGCTGATCCCTGAGACCTCTGCTGAGAAAAGTACCTTGAGCTGTGTCTTGCTTACAAAGAACATTCCCTTGCCCCTTTGATTACTGGCCTTGGGCAGGAATTC